AACACAAACACACGCACAACCCGATCGGGCCATGCTCCGACCACCGTCAAAGCCCCGCCGCAGCGTCGTGTTCTGTCGCCGCTCGCCGCCTCCCGAGACCAGATGCAGCTCCGTCTCTTGTCCTGAAACTAGTCGTAGCCACGCTGAAACCCCACGATAAACTCGCCGTCGGACACGCCATTAACGCAACGAGCGAGCTTTCGTCGCGACACAGCCGCCGTCGTCGACATCGTCGACATCATCATCACTCTCAACATCATGGCCCTATAGCTCCATTTCATCGACGTTCGCCGCCGCCGACTCAACCAGCGCTGCTGAGCAGATTCTCGATTTCAAGTCTCCGCCTGTACCGCCGGCGCCGTCAACGTGGAGCTGATATTTTCAGAATTTGGCTTCAATTTCAGAACTTGGAATGTTCAGTTCTGAGATCCCCAATTTCAGAAATTGAATAATGAATTATTGGATTTAGGGTTAGGGCAAGTTTTTGTAAATTTGATAAATCTAAAGGATTTATTTGCAATTTTAGATAACTTCATTATATATCAATAAGTTCATGGGCAAATATGTAGTTTAATGAAAATTTAGCATATAAATATTTATTATAAATAAAAATACACATTATTTAGTATCAGAATGTAAAATAAAATATACAACTTTGATTGAAACTAAAACAACTGACATAACCGAACAATATAAAAAATATTATTCTTTATATTATATATATTATTTGTTTTCAATAAATGATAATATAGTATTAAATAAAAAAATATAAATACTAAATTTATTTTCATAAAACAACACGTTGTAGATTATAAAACAACACGGTTATTATCGAACTATATATTATCGCACTTTATATAGCAGGATATTGCATTTTATAAAACAACACGTTGCACATTATAAAACAACATGGTTATTATCGAACTATATATTATCGCACTTTATATAGCAAAAAATTGCACTTTATAAAATAACATGTTGCACCTTATAAAATAATATATTTTAAATAATCAATCGAACTATATATTATCACACTTTATATAGCAGAATATTGCACTTTATAAAACAACACGTTGCACCTTATAACCCAACACGTTTTAAATAACCGATCGAACTATATAGAAATAAATATTATTTTTTTTTTTTATGTTTTATCTATATATATTATCATTTGTTTTCATCAAACAACAATATAAACTATTAACTAAAAAAATTACTAACACGAAATATATTTTTTTGCTATAAGAAAATAATTGCACTTCGAATGAATACACATTAATGTTAGACTGATTGCACGTTAATGTATTCGTTATTGCACTTTAACGTAGACTGATTGCACATTAGTGACTGTCAGATTGCACTATATCGAACGAACCCGACTACACATTAGTGTTAGACCGATTGCACGTTAATATCTTCGTGATTGCACTTTAATGTTAGACTGATTGCACATTATCGACTGTCAGATTGCATTATACCGACCGAACCCGACTGACTTGATTTTTTGTATTTGAACTTTATGTCGGATCGACTGTATGTGTTTATCTTTTAAAATTGTAGTTATTTCAGTTCAATGTAATTTTTATTTTTTTTATTACTAGATAACCAAAATAACCGAACCGACCAAATCCTATAAACAAATACTATTCTTTTATATTTTGTTTTTTTATAAAATCATTATTTTTTTTAAGTAAAACAAATAAAATGTTAGATAAATATTAATGTGCAATTGACATACCACCTATTTATTTTAATTATTTACAAATTTAATAGAAGTACAATTATAAACATATATATTAAATTTTTAAAAATTGCACAAAGGCCCCTATAACTTGTCTATTTTCTAAAAACCGGTCAAAAAATGTCCCAACTGTCTGCTGCAAATCCGATTGCCGGAACCACCGTCAAACCGCCACCTATCGCCGCCAGCCTTGTCATCACAATACCATCAACGACGAGGGCAACAATCGACAGCCGCCAATCACGATCTGCTGGCCCGGTTAATAAGCCTCAAATCACAACCCTTAAAAATTCACCAAATCGTCACCACTACCAAATCTCCCGCCCGCCGGAGTCCCCATCAGGCCATCCCCATCGCCGCCAGCCCTTCCAAAACCAAATCGCCTCCACCGAGGACAACAACAGATATTGAACGCAGACACTTTCTCCATCTTCACCGGACATCGTCAGACGATTTATTTCCGATCAATACACTGGCGGCTGATGATTGCCATAAGGATCTTCACACCAGCGAAATTGTTATTCTTGTGGAGAGAGAAGTAGTAAGCGATGGAGAAGAGAGATAGAAATGGTAGGTTGGAGAGAGAGAGAGAGAGAGAGAGAGAGAGAGAGAGAGAGAGAGAGAGAGAGAGAGAGAGAGAGGAATGGCAGATCGGACGTGTGAAAGGTGAGAGAAAGATGAGATATAATGAATGGGTTGGGATGTTTGTAAAGCCCACTGGATTTGTGTTCACACAAGAAATTACGCCTACGCCCTTTGTCATGGAAAATTTGCCTTAATTTTACTCGAATATTACGAATATGCCACCGCCTAATTCTGTATGGTCAACACCTGTGACTCCATCTTGACCGTTAATCTGGCAGATCTTATGGTGTATATTTATTTTCATTTCCTTCACTATCATCATTTCTCATATTATCTCTTCTCTCTCTCTCTCTCTCTCTCTATATATATATATATATATATATTTGTTGGCAGATCATTTAATAAAATCTATTTAATAAAACCACATAATTTTCCCACATAAAGAGTTACAATTCGATTATAGCATCCATAATAATTTACCTTTTTTTACGTTACAATTTTTAATCCATTATTATTATTATTATTATTATTATTATTATTATTATTATTATTATTATTATTATTATTATTATTATTCCTATATAATTAATGATATAATTATTTCATTGTACTTTTTTTAGGATTAATTAAGACACAAACTATTACATTTATATTAATTGAGTAATAACTATATTGTATACTGTATCATGTAATAGTTATATAGAAACTAATAATTGTATTTTACTAAATGATATATGAAAGTTACAGAAACATAAAAACTTATTGTAAACTTTTATTCAAGTTATTTATTCTAACACCAACATTATATTTGTTATCTGATTTATCACTTATTTTTTTTGTGAATAAATTAATTTATATTAAGAGAACATTAAAAATTTTTAAAATTGCATAAGCAATTGTTATAATAAATTTAATATCCAGCTAAGTAATTGATCATGATCTCTCAAAATTACAAAAATTATATTATTATTATTATTATTATTATTATTATTATTATTATTATTATTATTATTATTATTATTATTATTATTATTATTATATTTTATGAAATAATATAGTGATTCATATGCAATAAAATAGTTATGTACTAATTATCTAACCAATGATCAAATTTTAAAATATAATACCATTATCTAACTTATAATTATAATATGAATGCATAAATATAACTTATAATACTATATGTTTAAAATATAATACCAATATCTAAATTGTAATTTAATATCGTAAACATAAATATAACTTATAATGCACTATTATATTTGTGCAAATGCACATGGTCGAATACTAGTATATATAATTAGAGCAACACAACATTTGATTATATTATCCTGCATTTAATTATATTATCCCGCGCGCCTAAAATTTTCAGAATTTAATTTGTTACTTTCAATTCCCCCTAAAACAATCATTATTAGAATTAACTATATGATATATGAACGTTGTATAAATATAAAAATTATATTGTAAAACTTTTTGTTTAAGTTATTTATTCTAAAATCAATATTATAACTTTTTTTCATTTAATTAAGCGATTAATTTTTAAATAAATTAATTAGTTTAGTGCCATAATAAGATCTCTTAAAACCACATAACCATTTGATATAATAAATTTAATATTCTTCAACAAATTAATTGGTAATGATCTCTCAAAATTATAAATATTATATTATTTATTACTTTTTATTCAATTAATATTCTGATTAATATGCAATCAAATAGTTATGTACTATTTATTTTAATGAATGATCAAATTTTAAAACATAATAACATTATCTTAATTATAATTGTAATATTATATGCATAAATATAACTTATATAAATATTCTATGTTTGAGATTTAATACCGTCATTTAACTTATAATTCTAATATTATATGTGCTTAAATAACTTACAATAACTTATTTATATCTGCGCAAATGCACATGGTCGAATACTAATACTATCTTAATTGTGTTTCTCACTATCGATTTGATATAAACCTACCTTTGATGCTGTTTATATAGACTTATTGGTATATGGATCAATAACCAATAATGCTACAAGTTTTAATTAGTTCCTCTATTATCCCATATAAATACAAAAACTCAAAACTATGCCCAACTATAACCAAATCGATTTGATATGAAGCATAATGGGAATATCTAGTTCGTTTTGCTTTTCAACTTGAACTTGCTCACATTGCGTGCACAATCATTTGTAGTTGAATTTTCTTCGAAATATTTATTTTCAAATTGAAATTGAATTCTAAACAAACAAAATTCTAATATGAATATTTTAAAAAATACATATCCTAGTCAACAAGAATGAAGGAAGTGCATCGTGCGCAGTATTTGACTATTACTATCCCTAGCGTCAACATTGATATTAAGGGAATTAGTTATCCAATTATGTACAGTAACGTGGCATGAACATTTTAGCATTCACATTCGTATGAACATTTTAACAGTCACATTCATGCAATGAAGATGGAGGTCTCTTAAAAGGCTCAAAGTGAATTCATGTCACAATATGGACATTGAAGTTAGCCCTGCACTTTAGGAGTGTATAAATATTTTATTACACATAAAAAGCCTCCAACAACAAACAACAACAACAGTGCAGTAATAGTACACACACAACATTATCCATGAAAAAACAAACAAATGGCAACACAGACTACAAAATCCAAGAATTAAACCACCACAACTCCATCTCCATCAGAAATAGCCCTCAAAGAATCAGGCACTTGAATAGGAAACACGACATTATCATACAAGACCCCTGCAAAACCCGCACCGATCAAGGGCCCGACCCAATAAACAGCATGGTTCTTGAAACTCCCCCCAACGACCGCAGCCCCAAACGAGCACGCAGGGTTCATTGACCCTCCCGTGAAGGGCCCAGATGCCAATACGTTGGCTCCCACTATAAACCCAATTGCCAGTGGCCCCATGATTGTCCCCATCGCCCCTCTCCTGGGATCTGCCGACGCATACACTGTGTAGACCAGGGCAAAAGTCATCACACCCTCAATTACGGCTGCCCCAAATCCGGTCATTTCCGATGGGATCGTGTGAAACGGGACTTGCTGTAAGAAATTAATAAAAAAATTAATGTTAGGCCAAACTATGAAGAATGCAGTTAAATTATTTAATTTTATGGTACTCGAACTGACCTGTCCAACTGTGGTGGTTTTGAGCATGAGACAAGCAATGAGAGAGGCTAGCATTTGGGAAATCCAATAGAAGATGGCCATAGGGATGGTGATGTGGCCCCCTACGGCCATCCCGAAAGTGACGGCCGGGTTTACGTGGCCGCCGGATATGTTGGCCGAAATGTAGACGGCCACTGACAAAGCAAAGGCATTAGCCACCGCCACAGCCACCAGGCTGGATGGCTCGGCTGCTGCTTCCGGCGTCATCTTCCCTGCAAAAACATCACACATCTTCACCACAAATTTAACTTTCAATTCAGACAGTCAAGTTTGAAGTCGATCGAATAAAAATGAACACAAATTAAAAAGATAAATATTATATTGTACGAGAAGCCATGGTGGCGCCAACGGCAGAGAAGACAAAGATGAAGGTTGAAATGAACTCGGCCAAATATGATCTCAAAGCGATGGCAGTGATGGAGGATTTCAGGGACGCCATTGATTGAAGACCAACTTTTTTTTTTTTTCTCTCAACACAAGAAATAAATTTATTATTAAATGTTTTCGTAGTTCATGTTTTGAGAAAGGGTGAGTTATAAGCAGTTGAGAGACCGGAAATTTGGGAGTTGTGACGGTTAGTGAGTGTGAGGGATGGATAGTTTTCTTTTTTTCTTTTTTTTTTTTTAATTTTATTATTATATTATTATTCAAATTTGGTAACTGCTACTAAATACAAACCTCAGCTTGTGTAATTTTTCTATATTACTATTCAAACTTTTTTTCTCCTTTTTTATCATTATTGTTATAAAACTAGAGAAAAGATAAAGAATATAGAAAATGTATTCTCTTGGTGTGTTTTCATTACAATTAAAGCTCCTATTTATAGGAACACTTCTGATGGCACAATCGTAATAATACAATTACATCGAGTGCAAAATAGTCATTCACATCTATTATTTTATAATAAACATTTCACAACACTCCCCTTTGAATGACTATTTCTAAATATATTTTAACTTATTTGAACAAAGCTCAATCTGAATATCTTGAAATGTATCTTGTAGCCATCGGTACTGGTGCTTCAGTACTATATCAAGAAAACCCGGTGGGACAAAACCTGATCATCTTGAAATCATAACATTGCCTCAGCAAAACCCGGTGGGACAAAACCTGAGCATTGTGGTAGCACATCACTGCTCCCCCTCAAATAGATCATTTTTAGTGGAGTATCCACGTGTTGCCTCGTTAAAACCTTGTCAAGAAAGCTCAGTGGGAAAAATTTGATCGAAGGAAAAAGAGTACAGCTACCCCAGTGTCTTCTTATCATCATGAGGAATCATATCATTTATCCAGTAGTCCTCATCATACCATGAATATGCCTCGTTAAAAACCTTATTAGGAAAAACCCAGTGGGACAAAATCATAATGAAGGAAAAAGAGTACACTATTTATGTGAATACGCCATCCTTGTTGCCCCATTAAAAACCTTGTTGGGAAAACTCAATGGGACAATACCTCAACCAAGGAAAAAGAGTACAACGCGTATTCCATATATTAACCATAATAACCTTTTCATAATTTTCATGAATATCATATAGATTCATTTGGATTTTTTGATACTTGTGGTATGATAATATGTCATATAATGCTTTTGTTCAACTTTCATTCTTAACTCATTCTCATCATCAATTGATTTCAATGGTCTTACTGCCAATAGTTCCAAATATTCACATTCAGCTGATTTCATTCTCACCAATATCATTTATATAGCGCTATTCATTTTTTCGTGTCAACACTTATTCATTTCATTATAATCCGTAATATATTGAAATGCCATTATCAATGGATTTCATCAATACTATATATGCCTCCTTTCAGCACTTATTTGGGGAATTTCAATTTTCACAATACCAACGCTTCCAGCGTATTATTTCATCATCATATCATTTCATATATTTCACCACCATCAGTATCATTCAGTTTATGATTAGCACATTTTCAGTGTGATGCATATAACATTTCCAGATTTCAATAATTGATTATCCCCCTCATCTTATCAGACCCCTGATCTGTATTTTCAGTACTGAGTTTCTTGAGGGGAGTTCATATAATTTCAATTTCGTTCTTGATTTCAACATATAGTAGGAGGACTTTGAACTCATATCACTTGTAATGTGCACATTTTTCTTTCAAGAGTTCATCATATCAGCTGAGTGTATTACTAGCTTCATTACTTTCATATGGCACCTATTTTCATTCTTTCATAATCATCTTGCGTCATACTTTGATCAAAATATCTCGTAACTTCAGGTTACATGTTATATACACATTCTTTGATCAAATCATATCGTAACTTCAGGTTACGTGTCATATATCCATTATTTGATCAAATCATTTCGTAACTTCAGGTTACGAATCAAACACATGTGGCTATCTAGTGGATCCATAATATCTAGTAGCACACATGGAGGGGTAGTGGGCCCATATATGTCGTACCCCTTTCATACTCAGTTTGATCAAATATCGATTCACAAATATTTAGCAAGTAATAATTTAACCATTCGAGAACAAAGCATCTCATATCACAAAGAATTAGTTAATCATGCAAACCATCATCATTTATATCAGTAAACATCACAATAATTCATTGTGACCCATTTATCATAAACATATCACATCATCTTTTGGCGGTAATAAATGAACTTCAAGTGCAGATTCTGACCCACAATATTGTAGTCACTGTTCAAATCCATAATTGTTTCACGTGCGTATCATTTCTTCTGTCACACACACATTTTTTAGAGTCGTATAGCATACGCATCATTTCTATAAATAAATGGAGCCTGTAAATACACCATGTCCCAAGCTCTTGTTCATAACTTGTGTTGTCCGATTTTTCTCAAACATACAGGAGAGAAAGAGTTTTGTTTAAGAGTTAGGGAAATTCGATTAATCGCTCCACCAAGATTAATCAAAATAGGTGTTTAGGTAATCTGTTAGAAGGCTTTTGGGTACAATATATTCAAGCCTTTATATACATATATTTCCGGTCATTCCCTCCCGTCGTCCGCCACCGTCGACCACCGCCAGAAATCATCGCCACCAGAAGCCGCCCGAGCTCAGCCGAGCACAGCCACTTGCTACTGCAAGCAGCCGTGCCCAACCAAGCCCCGGTACCAGTCACAGTGACGACACACAGCATCGCCCGCGAGCTCCCAGCGCCACCTGCATGCTCGAAGTTCGCACCTGCTGCCCGTCTCCTGTTCGCGCATGTTCCCAGTGCGTACCTTCCACGCGTGCGCTACTCCCAGGCGCTCAGGACACTTGTCGCGCACACACGCGTCTGCCCAGTCGCCTACGCCAGTCTGCATCGGCCTAGGACTCCAGCCAGTGCGCGTCCGTGATACGCCTGCTCGTCCCAGCGCCTAGTCCACGTAGCCCGCGACCCGCGCGTCATGACCAACAGCCGACGCGCACCAACTGCCCGCGCACGCGACCACCGCCCACGACCAACGTCCGCGACCGAGCCACTGCACCCGACACCGAGACCCGCGCACCGTGTGATCAAGTCCCGTCCGACTTCTCGATTGGAATTGAGTAAAGTCCAAATCTATCTGCCCATTAGATTGTGGTGCTCAGACGAACTACATCAACGGTCTGAGTCGACAAAAATTCTAAAAGGTAATGTCCATATCCTAACTATAGATTCCGCTGCGTTAGGATTTATTTCGATAAGTTAATTATTGTGCATGTTGTTTGACGTTCCTCATAGAACCCAATACTTCTAAGTGATACCTATTTTTAATCGATTAGTATCTACTTTTGTGAAGGAAAATGGATTATTTCAATTTTGGACAACATTTACAAAAAGTAGACATAGAGTAAGATAATACCAGTTTTATGTTGTTGTAGTACCTCATATTGGGTCTTCAGTACCACTTGTAACAAACATATAAAAACACCGAATTTCGGTCGCAAATGATGTTTATACGACCCATAATCCTCTCACATTAGTTTATATGAGATTTAAAATGGTTTTAATTGAATTTATTGAGTCAAGAAGCACAAGTTAATTTTATAAGCTAAGGAGTTTAAGCATGACTTTATAAATCTCGTGCCTTATGGATAAGAATTAAAGTTGCTCATAAATAAACGCGATTGCCTAGCGGCAAGATGGTAGAGGCGGTGGCGTTGACGGTGTGGACTTGCCCATACCCCGGTTTGAGTCCCCCTCAGCGCGAACCTTCCACCATTTTTTTTTTGGTTGCACTTATAGTAATTTAAAGTAGGTACTAATCGCTTAAAAACATGTACCACATAGAAGAAGATGCGGTACTATTTTGGTATGAATGCAAAAAAGATGGCAGAAGGTTCGCTCAGAGGAGGGCTCGAACACGGGTCTGGACAAGTCCGCACCTTCAATGCCGCCCATCTACCATCCCGCCGCTAGGCAATCCCGTTTATTTATGAACAAATTTAATTCTTATCCCTAAAGCTCGAGATTTATAAAGTCCTACTTAACCTCATTGACTTATAAAAATTAAATTGTACAACTTGACTTAATAAATTATATTTATTGGCATTTTTACCAATTTAATTAAAAACCTAGCATTAATTTTTGAATCAACCTTTCGTACTTGGAATTTCACCAATTTAATTTGGTGCTTAAAATGTTAAATTGGTTCCATCCAGAAATATCAAGGATATAATACAAATATTTATAAATAATAGAACTAGTTAAAAAATTAAGGAACTAGGATATGATAAAACTATACCATATTTCAACAATAAATTTATTACTATTATGAAAGCAACATTACCTGTTCATGTTCATCGGGATGGATTGAACACCATCATTCAGTCTTTCATTTATTTCAATGGCAACTATCTCTACAATATTTTCTTTAAAACAGACATGTAACCGAATAATGTTTTTTACATTCCCATCATCGGACAAACTAACTCTTTTTTTCCCTTTGGCGCAATAGCTTAGCATGACGGATTCGAAATTAGCATTTGGTCACCTCTTAGCAATGAAAGTGTACATTTCGTCAAACGTTGATCCAAGGTGCATAGAGAACACAAACAATTCATTTTTGTAGGTACCACTCCCTAGTGTACTACTTTGTGCCCCTTCCATATATCTAACAATAATTGGATAAAATAAAAAATAACTTCACATTTCCCAGTAGATATGATACCAAACAACATTAAAGTGGTATTACGATATACAAATAGAGGTATAAAAATAAAGAATATTAGTACAATAATCATTCTCATCTTTTATTTTTGTTTTAGGGTGAATAACACCTAACATAACATACAGATAACATCAATTTGGTATATATGAACAACAAAAAAGAGATTATGATCACTTTATGTCTTTTAGGATAACATGAATAACAATTTTTAAATTTGAATTCTTAACTAATTAACCAAAAATATATGAATTAAAGATGATTTTTGGCCTCCAAAGTCCTCATATAATATATAAGTTAC